CTCCCCACCTCACAGTCCAGCACTATGGACTCCCACTACCCACTGCAGTCAACATCCATCCCTCTGCAGTTTGGCCCTGCTGAAGTACAGTACCCGCTGCATTGTACTCCAAAGGAGAAGATTAGATATGATCCCTGAACATACACAAATCTTTAGCCATCCTGGGACCCCTCCTCCTCCTGGGACCTTCCCTTCCCCCATCCCCCTCCCTGCTGATGTTTTTTTGTTTGTTTGTTTGACTCTCTCTCCTCCCATTGTCTTTTAATAAAAGAACTGTGGTGGTTTGAAAGCAATCTTTATTCTATTAATTGAAAGCAAAAAGAGCACTGCAAAGCAGCATACAATTATGTTAAACCCCCTTATTGCATCATGTGCACTAATCACCTTCTAGCATTACAAGCACTGCAATCCCGAACATAGCAACAAATATCAGTGTCTTTCAGCTTCAAATTGCTGCCACAAGGCATCCCTGATCCTTATGGCCCCATGCTGTGCCCCTCTAACAGCCCTGGTCTCTGGCTGTTCAAACTCAGCCTGCAGGCACTAAGCCTCTGCAGTCCAGTCCTGAGTGAAGCTTTCACCCTTCCCTTCACATATATTATGGAGCGTATAGCACATGGCTATACGCATAGAAATATTGTCATGGACCAGGTTCAGCTTCCCATAGAGGCAGCGCCAGCGGGCTTTTAAATGGCCAAAAGCACACAACAGCCATTCTGCACTTGCTCAGCCTGTTGTTGAACCACTCCTTGCTGCTGTCAAATTGCCCCGTGTATGGCTTCATAGGCCATGGCATTAATGGGTAGGCAGGGTCTCTCAGGATCACAATGGGCATTTCAACTTCCCCTACAGTGATCTTCTGGTCTGGGAAGAAAGTCCCTGCTTGCAGCTTCCTGAACAGGACAGTGTTCTGAAAGATGCGTGCGTCATGCACCTTTTTGGACCAGCCTGCATTAATGTCTGTGAAACACCCACAGTGATCCACAAGTGCCTGGAGAACCATAGAGAAATAACCCTTGAGATTAATGTACTCAGTGGCTAAGTGGTCTGGTGCCAGAATTGGAATATGCGTGCCCCTCTATAGTTAGGGAAGCCCATTTGTGCAAAGCCATCTACAATGTCACACACATTGCCCAGAGTCACAGTCTTTCGGAGCAGGATGCGATTAATGGCCCTGCACACTTCCATCAACACGAGTCCAATGGTCGACTTTGCCACTCCAAACTGGTTAGCGACTGATCGGTAGCAGTCTGGAGTAGCCAGCTTCCACAGTGCAATCGCCACGTGCTTCTCCAACGACAGGGCTGGGGCGAGCTCATCACACAGTCCCATGAATGTGGCTTTCCTCATCCGAAAGTTCTGCAGCCACTACTCATCATCCCAGACGTGCATGATGATGTGATTCCACCACTCAGTGCTCGTTTCCCTGAGCCCAAAAGCGGCATTCCACTGTGGTCAGCACCTCCGTGAATGCCACAAGCAATCTCATGTCATAGCTACTATGCGTGATGAGATCAATGTCGCCCTCCTCTTGCCTTTGTAGTTTAAGGAAAAACTCCACTGCCAATTGTGACGCGTTAGTCAGAGCAAGCAGCATGCTGGTCAACAGTTCGGGATCCATTCCTGCAGACCAAAGAGGCAGAGTGCACAGTACACAAACCGTTGAAAGATGGCACCAAATGCGGATGGAAGAACAGGAATTTCTGGGATGCGAAGCAATGCATCATGGGTCATTGGGACAGGACCCAGGATGCCCCACGACCCCCTCCGCCATCCCACAACTCTTAGGGGCAGAAGAGAAAGAGGTTCTCCATGGGATAGCTGCCCAGAGTGCAGTGCTTCAAATACCGCTGCAAGTGCCGCAAGTGTGAGCACGCTACTGCGCAGGCAGTAGACAGTGTGAACACACAACAGCAGTTTCCCTTCAGTGGTCTCTGAGCAGCGCTGTAACTTTGCCTGTGTAGATGTGCCCTGAGTGTTCTGATACATCTGTGTTTTGAATGGTAGCCACAGAATGTGGAGAAAATTCACAGAGAAGTACATAGACCTCTTCCCTTTTTCATACAGAGACTTTAAAAAAAAAAAAAAAAAAAACCCTCTCAGACAGCAGATGGCACATCTTTTGTCATGACAAGCACTCTACTAGCCCATCACTACCCAGCATGGTGCACTTTGAAGCTGAGTGAATAGTGAGGAGAAGTGTATGTGGAAGAATGCCTTGTTTGATTTTGTTTAAGCCACTCACATGTTCACTTTCTGCATCTATTCTAGTAAATTACTTTACCAGCAGGAACATCCAGCACAGCAAGCAATTTTAAATGGGACTTCAACTTGAAAAGTCACATATCCATCTGAAAGATTTGTACCTTCCATTGTTATTAGTAATACTTAACATTACATGCCATCAGACTTTAGAGAAGGAAATAGGTTGTTTCTTGTTTGATCATCTAAGTTTCCAACTAAAAAGCTTGATTATCTGCAGTGTAGATAGTTATTGCATGTTCTATATTCCACTTGACGTCTGTAATTCATGAAGAACCAAGGCAGAATGTGAGAGACCCCCACCAACAGGGACTGAAAAGGAGAATTTTGTTCTCAAAGGGTACAGACCCTTAAAATACAAATAGCAAATATATTTAAGGAATAGGACCTGATCCAGGAGGCCTTACATTAACCAAACATTTTAAAAGACTCTAATGTATAGTTTCTGTGTGACAGGTTGGATCACAGAAACCCCTTTGGGACTGCCACCTGATGTGCCTAGACTACCTCTGAGCCTGTTTTTCATGCCAGCTTGGGACTTCAGGACCTTGCCTTGTTTGAGCCAGACACGCTTGCCTGCTGCAAACACAGATTCAAGTATGAACCATGTCCCTCACAAGCTGCAGGCTTAACTGAAAACAGATTAAGAAGTGCTCCTGTCTCCAGCACTCAGATACCCAATCCCAGTGGGGTCCAAACCACAAATAAATCCGTTTTACCCTATATAAAGCTTATGCAGGGTAAACTCATAAATTGTTTGCCCCCTATAACGCTGATAGAGAGATATGCATAGCTGTTTGCCCCCACCCCCACCCCCCAGGTACTAATACATACTCTGGGTTAATTAATAAGTTAAAAAGTGATTTTATTAAATACAAAAGGTAGGATTTAAGTGATTCCAAGTAATAACAGACAGAACAAAGTGAATTACCAAGCAAAATAAAATAAAACATGCAAGTCTAAGCCTAATACAGTAAAAAAACTAAATGCAGGTAAATCTCACCCTCAGAGATGTTCCAATAAGCCTCTTTTACAGACTAGCCTCTTTCTAGTCTGGGTCCAGCAATCACTCATACCCCTGTAGTTACTGTCCCTTGTTCCAGTTTCTTTCAGGCATCCTTTGGGGTGGAGAGACTCTCTCTTGAGCCAGCTGAAGACAAAATGGAGGGGTTTCCAGGGGCTTAAATAGATTCTCTCTTGTGGGTGGAAACCCCTTCTCCTCTCCTATGCAGAATCCAGCTGAAAGATGGAGTTTTGGAGTCACATGGGCAAGTCACATGTCCATGCATGACTCAGAACTTTACAGGCTGCCACATTCCCAGGAAAGCTCAGATGTGGATTGGCATCTCTCATAGTTCATTGTTAGCTTAAGTATTTCTTGACTGGGCACTTACTGAGAATAGTCTTTTCTCAAGAAGCTGACCAACTGCTTCACTGAGGCTACTTAAAATCAAACAAGTACATAGCCAATATTCATAACTTCCAATACAAAAATGACACATGCATGCAAATAGGATGAATATATCCAGTAGATCATAACCTTTGCAGAGATACGTTACATGGCATATCTAGCATAAAACATATTCCAGTTATGTCATATTTACATGCAAGCATATTTCTATAAAGCATTATGGGGTGCAACGTCACATTCTGCCACTGGCAAATTAGGATTTGTGAATTACTTGGGGGTAATAGAAGGAGGTTATGGGTTGTCAACTCTTGCAATTTTAAAACTAATCTCATATTTGATGTTTTTCTTAAAGCTTCAGCTCCCAGAATTATGAAATAACATTATAATCTGTTTTATTCTTTAAAAAATATTAAAAAATTAGACTACATGCTTGGTGAGCAAAGTGGGAAAACATGATTCGAGTGCAACCTAAAAGCTCTGAAACCAGAAGGTAAATAATAAGAACCCAAGACTTACTTTTTACAGTCTCATGACTTTGAGGAGACCTGTTTCATGACTTCTGAATGCTTGAGGAGGCACTACAGTTGTCCAGCCAGGATCAAATCTTGCCCTGGCTGGACAGAGCCTCAAAGGGGAGAAGCAGCATTGCCTGCTATATCTTCTGCTCCTGGGATGCTGCCGGTCAGGGCTGGATTCTAGGAGGAAGGCTTAAGGGATGAGAGAGATGTAGCCCCCTGAGATACCAGGCATCTCTCACTGCAGCATGCACTCTAATGGGACAAGATCTTTGAGGAACAAACATTTATAATTCCTTCTCCTTGGCAGAATCCATGGTACTAAGAGTCAATAATAAGCATTTTTTCTTCTTAGGATCTTGAAGCCCTTCATACAGGCAGGTATTGTATTATCATCCCCTTTTACGAAGAGGGAAGTCAAAGAAATCAAGTGACTTGCTTATGGACATACACTGAATCAGAAGCAGTCAAAACCGGATATTTTGCAAATACATCATCCACAAAATAACGGATTTATTTCAAACAAATTAATCTGCGGTTCTTTTTTTTAAAATAAATTCCAGCAGCAAGGGACAGCACTTGCATTTGAAAAAAAAAAAAAAAAAAAAAAAACACAACTGATCCCTCCAGCCATATAAACCAAGGACAAGGAGTCATCATAGAATTATAAATGGGCACTTTCATGAGGGTCAACAACACCCAGGCTAGTGACTCAGAGACTCTATTTCAGTCGGAGGGGTGTGGTTGACAGGTGGAATGATCAGGGGGTGGGGTTGAGCAGCTTGGGAAGGTTTATAAAGTGAGAGCTTTGAGCCTGTTTGCACCCAGCCAAACTTCTTCATCGCAACAGCTGCTCCAGTGCACCAGCCACATCTCTAAGGTAACATGGCTTTCACGGGCAGATATGAAGTGGAAAGTGAAGACAACTATGATGCCTTTGTGAAGTGTATTGGTGAGTATATACTGGAGATTTTTCTCAATGAATCTTAACGAGTTTTAATAAACTACTAGATAAACAATGCAAAGGTTTGAGGCTTGCTCCTCCCAGGTGTTGAGGGTGTTTGATACCTATCAGAAAGTGCTGAGCATCTTATCTGCCAGCCCCTGGCTAGCAAGTGGGTTATACCTTCATTGATTCATTTTCTTCCATGCAGCTTTCAATCACATCTTCAGAATATCATCATCTACAGCAAAGCTCAGGCCTGCTCCTACTAAAGTCTGAGTTTAGTGGGAGCAGAATCAGGCCCAAAGGTACTTGTAATACAATGAATTAGGGGGCCCAATATTCAAACCTCACGCTCCACTTGTGCTAGTACAAACTTGTGACTGCCCTCTACAGGAGTAGGTGCCTGAGTGTACCCTAACTCCATATGAAATTTTAAAAAGCCAAGGCCGGTGCAGGCACCTGTAAAATCCATGGAAGTAACTGGGTTCTGTAAGTGTAAATGTTTGTATTCAGGCAAGTGTTCAACTATTTAAATGGCATATGTAAATATTAGAATGTAATAGGTTTTTTCCCTACAAAGTACAGAAAAAAAAACTTTGGGCACATGTAACTTCATGTGCGTACATGTGTATAGACTGGATAGAGAGACAGCTGAAAAATTTACCACCACCCTCCCCCGACCATGGACCCTTTCCAAACAATCTTTCACAGTCTCGAGCTGCATCTAGCTACAGGGTTGAGGTCTCACTGCTTCCAAAGTGTGCTTCCAGCATTTTTAACTATGACACCAATGTAAAAGAGTGGGGAGCCATGTAATCAGTCATGAATTTCTCAATAGAGGAAACCACAGACCATTGTTTTCCTTAAATACAGAAGAAAATATGATTAATGGGATATTAGCTTTAAAAACCTGTGTTTCCGTTGGGTAGGTATCCCCAGTGATATCATTGAAAAGGGAAGGAATTTCAAGATTGTCACAGAAGTGGCACAGAATGGAAATGACTTTGTCTGGACCCAGATCTACCCCACAGGTCAGTCCATGACCAACAAATTCACCATTGGCAAGGAAGCCGACATGGAGACAATGGGAGGTAAAAAGTTCAAGGTAAATTAATTTAGTCCTATGGTTTAATGTTGTTTCAATAGTAACTTAGTTGCCTAGTCTATTCCATAATTTAGGGGACAATGGTCCATAGCATGTGGTATGATCCATCTGAGGGATTTTGTCAATGCCATAATCCTGACACATACGAAGAGATGCCCTGTATTGTTTTTAATCTACCCACTATATTTTTGAACATAAATCTATTTCTAAATATGCCCATAGAGCTGGGGTGGGCAAACTTTTTGGCCAGAGGGCCACATCGGGGTTCTGAAAGTGTATGGAGGGCTGGTGTAGTGTATTAAATTGCTCCCCGTAGGAATGTGCTACTTATGGGGTACTACTTACAGCTGCCAGTCCTGGTGCTCCGTAAGCACATTCCTAAGGGGAGCAATTTAATACACTACACCCGGCGGCTCTTGCAGCCCCGCCGTCCAGAGCACTGGCAGCATGGCAAGCTGAGGCGGAGGGGGCGGGGCCAGGGGCTAGCCTCCCCAGCCAGGAGCTCAAGGGCTGGGCAGGATGGTCCCTCAGGCCGTAGTTTGCCCACCTCTGCTGTAGAGACTTCTAAATCTCTTGATTTTCAGGCCAATGTGCAGCCAGTTCAAAGAGTTTAGTTTGAACTTGAACATTGTCACATTAAAAAAAAAAAACGGTAGAATGACAGCCCAAGAAGGGCCCGTGCCTCAAGCAGGTACACTGGCTCTCAGAACTCATAGTAACAACAACTGCCACCCCACCCATAACAGTTCATTACCTTCTGCCTTCCATGCCAGATTTCCTTCAGTGACCGGGGTAGAAAGTGGGGAAAAGTTATATCCCTGCCTCCTTTCTACAATCTAGTGCTGACAAAACCCTAGCTCTGTGGAGACCAGGCACACACTCAGCACCAGGACTCCCATTGTGCTTGACCCATGCAAGGGTGCTCTCATTTCCTCCTTTGTAAATCCATGCAGCCTGGCCCTATATATTCCAATGTATTTCACTATATAGACCACTACTATAATAATGATTCTATTTCCCATCAAAATTTACAAGAGGCATGAAGCAAGCCTCACATTTCTTAGATATGAGGAAGGATGGCCTGGTCTTCCAGGCACTGCCTAGAGACTCAGAAGACAGATTTAATATCTGGCTTTGCCACAATCTTCCTAAATGACCTGGAACAAATCACTTGCTCTATTCTTCATCTATAAAATGGGGGTAATATTTCCCTATCTCAGGGAGGTGTTGAAAGAATAAACTCATAATATCTGAGCATCTCAAAAATAATGGATGCAAGTACCAAATAGAAGTATTATTCATTTTTAACAATAGGAAAGCCAACCATCACATGGGGAAATGTGACACCAAACTGGGACCCGAACCCCTATTTCCTGATTTCTAGATTGGTTTGTCAAGCATAACATTGTTTCCTCTACATTTTGACTGGAGTTTTGTAAAGCCAGAAATGTTTGGCTTTTTGCACAACCCTTGAGACTTAACATACGTACAGTTACAAGGAGAGTTACTTTCATATACTGCAAACTCTTCATCTAAAGTTGAAATGTTACAAATGCTACCCATCCCCTTTCTCTATCCCAGAGACACTTTAACATGTGGATCCTTTTGGGCTGCCAAAGATGCGAGTGGGGTAGTTAAGACAAAAAATGGTTCTCATGTGAGAAATGCTTCCTTCAATATAACACAAAATGCAAAGCTGACAGGGGGGTTTCCCTCTCGTCTGTGAAAGAAGTCAGCTCATTTTTTACCTTGAAAACCACTATTTTTCTAATTATGGCTGACTGGTCTTAAGTCATTTTTGCCTTACAAGCTTGGACAAGCCTAGTTATCTGAGAGAGACCAACACTATGAGAGGTTTCAGAGTAGCAGCCGTGTTAGTCTGTATCCGCAAAAAGAACAGGAGTACTTGTGGCACCTTAGAGACTAACAAATTTATTAGAGCATAAGCTTTCGTGGGCTACAACCCACTTCTTCGGATGCATAAGAAGTGGGTTGTAGCCCACGAAAGCTTATGCTCTAATAAATTTGTTAGTCTCTAAGGTGCCACAAGTACTCCTGTTCTTTTTGCCAACACTATGAGGACTGGCTATGAAAAGAGTACTCTACAGCCCTTCTGTCTCTGGATATACTGTGTCAGTGACTGGCTCAAAGAGACGATATGTTACTTGCTACTACTGCTAGCTACATCTATTTTAGCTTAAGCTGTGAGAATTTATATTTAAGAACTAGGATTCTGGTCTTGTTAGTGTCTGAGAATATATAATACTGTCTGTAGCACATGGGTTCGCTCACATCTTATTTTCTTTAGAGGCTGTTGAAAAGCAGTCATGCACAATAAAGCCCAAGAAATCAAGACAATGATAAACAAATTTCCATTACAGGCAACTGTTAAAATGGAAGGTGGGAAAGTGGTTGTTGATTTCCCTAACTACCATCATACTGCAGAGATTGCTGGTGGAAAACTAGTAGAGGTAAGTCTCTAACCATCCTTCAGAGGCACTCCATGAAACTTAAAGGAATATTGCCAGGTTAATTACAGCACGGAACATTGGGCTTTATCTTTACAAAACCTAAGGGACCACTAGAAATGTTTTCATTAAATTTTAGATTGGGGGGGGGGGGGAGAAGAGATAAAAGGCAGGATTTTAAAGCAAGCCTTCCCCCTGCAGTTTTTGTAACATAATTATCAGATGTGAAATAGGCAAGTGTTTCATTGTTCCATCCGAATGCAAAACAGGTTTAAAAATGGCTTTCATGGTGAATTAGATTTTTTAAGTGTCATAGGTTCATGAAACCCAGATAATTGTTAAACACAATTTAGTATTTATATTTTGGATTTTTTATCCAGACTTCTCACAAGTTGACCAGTCTGTCCTTGACTGACTTAGCTGACTACATAAAGTACATGGGCTTCAAGAGTTGAAATGGAAACAACACTTACTGAAGTCTTCTATAATAGTGAAACTTTCTGTATATTTTTTAAGGCTACCTCTGACCCACTATATCTGGGCTATAATTTTCTATATTTCTGGCATAGTGTTCCATAGGATGGTTTAAAAGTTCTACAGAAAGTTTA